ATTGGGCTATGGTTGATTCCGCAGAAAACAAGCATTTTTGTGAAGTCAATCTTGAAGCTACCCTGAAGAACCACAAGGTGCAGTAAGTGTGAAAACTACAGCTTTTATCCAGTTCACTTACTGGTAGGAATGAACAGTTTTTCAAGTTTCACAGAGGTTGAAACTGATCTAGCCCAAGAGGGACATCTTGGCTGCCTACTGTCCTTCTAGGATGGAGGTGCATCACACTATGCATAGATGGACACACAGACAGACAGACAGACAAGACAGGAGAGACGGATGATTGCAGGGGGCTTGGTCGGAGGGGCTTGGGGAAGCACAGCTAGGTAACGAGAGGAAAAGAACAAACACACACTTGTGGAGGGGGAGGGTCAAAGTGAGAGAGAAAGGATAAATCCAATGACAACCCCACAGAACAAGCCAAGTAGAGGAAAGGTGCGCAAGGAGACACACACCCCAACGTCTCGTTGAGTCTTCATCCACTTCCTTTCCAAGGGATATTCACTCACCTTGAGAAGAGATTTGAAGGTTTCCGATGACTTGATCTGGAAGAAATTCCCAATCAAAGGCAGGGGAGTGGGGCCAGGGGGCAGTTGGCCCCGTTGTGTCAGCTTCTTCTTAAGAGAAATGGCCACCAGGAAGCAGAAGTAGGTGACCAAGAAGAGGGTGACAGCACTGGAGACCTCCATGCCGTGGGATGAGGACAGAACTGGTTCGAGTCTGTTTCCAAAGTGTGGGCACTTGTCCCATCTTCCTTCCTCGGGTTCTCTGGGTTTTATTAGGTCTGGATTTGACCCCGCCTTCTGTGTTATATAACTGCATGAAGCAAACACGCTGGGCGTGTAATCCTTGAAATGGGAGCCACATTTGATCAACCTTTTCCTGGTTAATCAGTATTGTATCTGACCCATGGAAAGCTCTAGGCTCATGTTCTGTCTTCGTGCAGTTACAAAGTCTGTTTGTTTTCCTCAGTCCTGAGAATATGGAAGGTTGGAAGCCAAAGCAATGCCCTGTGAAAAAAACCAACAACAAACCACCAGCAGCAACAATGATAATGTTGTGTAGGTGCAATTCTAATTGCATTTCAGTTGTGAACTGCCATTTTTCCTCAAAAGGAGGACAGCCCCAAACCAAGAGCCTACAATCGAGTGCGGGCACACACCCATGTTGGAAGAAGATAAAGGCCAGGCCCCTCCTTAAAAGACAGTATTTAAGCTAGTTACAATGAGTATATAGTACTAAAAGGATCCAACGAGCACAATAATAAAAAGCATAAGCAAAACCAAAACATATTCAATGCGGTAAGGGACAACAATCCATTAAAAAAAAAAACATTCTGACACCCAGTCATTCACGGAAAGCTTTGCCTGATGAGAAAGGCCTTTGCCTGCTTGTGGAAGGACAGCAAAGATGGGGCCAGTCTGGCCTCCAGTGGGAGGGAGTTCCAGAGTCTGGGAGCACCACATAGAGAAGGCCCTCTCTGAAGCTGCCAAGAAACAAGATGAAGGCTACTCCTGCAGGGCTGTATTGATCCACAGCTGAGTCCCTAGGCTTTCAGGTAATTTGGGGGGCCCTCCAGCATGTCAGTCTTTCACCCCAATACAGCTGACAGCCCCAGGCACCTCAGCAAAAAAAAAATCTGAAGGAACCCTAATCCTGTTTCAGTCGAGTCAGCCTTGCTGTCCTGATGATCTAAAAACTAGAGACGGATCATAAAGGGAAATACAGTCCTTGAGATAGTTTGGACCCAGGCGATTGAGGGCTTTGTAGGTTAGAACCAGCACTTTGAATTGTGCCCGGGAGCTGACTGGCAGCCGGTGGAGCTGCTGTAACGGGGGTGGGGAATGAGGTGGGGGTGGGTGGTTATGTGATCCCTGCATCCAACCCCAATGAGCAATGTGGCTGCTGCATTTTGGAGCAGCTGAAGTTTCCTGAAACTTTTTATAGGAAGCCCCACGTAGCAGGCATAACAGCAATCTAACCGGGAGGTAGCGAAGGCAAGTATTGCCATGACCAGATCAGAGGTCTTCAGGAACAGGCGCAGCTGGTGCACCAGTTTTAACTGTGCCAATGCAGTCCTAGCCACCACCGAAACCTTATTCAGATGAATCCAGGTGTACCCCCAAGCCGTGCACCTGGGTTTTCAGGAGCAATCTAACTCTGTCCAGCATCCCTGCTCTGTTTTGTGACTGACCAGGAGCACCTGCGTCTTGTCTGAATTAAGTAGCAATTTATTCATCCTCATCCAGTCCATTACTAATGACGCTGATCTAGAGCTGAAACAGCTTCCTCGGATTTACATGGTAAGGAGAGGCCAAGTTGGGTGTCGTCTGCATCCTGCTGACAGCAAACCAGAGAACACTGGACAATCTCTCCCGGCCGTTTCATGTAGATGTTAAATAAGATAGGAGCCAGAAGAGAGCCCTGAGCGACTCTGCAGGCCAGCAGTCGGAAGAACCAACAGGGACATATTCCCTTGCCCAGTTCGCAGTGTAGGTGGTCCCTTAAGGTGACCAAAGCAGTCTCTGCACCACAACCAAGCCTGAAGCTAGATTGAAATGAATATGGACAATCTGTTTTATTCAAGAACCCCTGATGCTGAGAATGTGTTCTTTTCTTTAACTCTCTCAACCGTTTCATGTTTGGTGAAATTCTCTGTCTTGCTGGTTTGGGGTCAGGGCTGGATCTGTAGGTGATCACAGAACGAAAGGAAAGCCGATGATGTGGGTGATCACAGACAATTGGAAGGCAATTAGCCTTCAGAGAAGTTGCAAAGAAGTCGACAAGCAGATATCCAGATAGGATACTGGTTACCTAATTGCCACTAGGATTGGCCAGATAAAGTCTTTGAACTTATGCTCTAACTCTAAGCAAAAGGGCAGAATAGGTAGGTTACCGCACCAGCTGGCAGGCAGCGGCTGCTTCTCTGAGTGTTTGCAAGTCACTGTAACATAGATAAAACTAACAGCCTTGGGCAGAAGCTTCCCACATGGAAAAGAGAACCTGCCTTTTCTCATGCAAAACCTAAACTGATCAGCAGATGGCTCTCGCTTTATCACCGAAAACGGATGAGGTCAGGGGTGATGAAATAGCAACCTCAACCACTTCCAAGGCAACAGACCTTTGAGGCATGACTCAGCCAGCATTGACTAGGCAAATATGTGAGGCACCATGATATGGTGCAAAGAAATGAAGGAACAACTGTGCAGACCCTGCTCTACAGGACAATCCCACCAGCAGGACGTGGGGCCCTTCCTGGATTCACTCCTCTCTCCCCCCCCAAAAAAAAATTCCAAAAGACCTCCGGACAGAGAGGGAGGACAGGTGCAGTTCCTTCCAGCACGTTCGGTTGGCCAAGGCTACCCCTGGGGAAGCAAGGAAGCAGGGGCAGAGCAAGGAGGAAAGACCAGAGACCCCTGCCCTGGAGGAGGCCGGTCTGGGCAACAGTGTGGATTCTTTCAAAGCATCACTTCAGCACCCTTTTTGCTTTTGAGTGTATTTTCAATCCACTTGGAACAATGTTTGTAGGCTGCCTTGCCTGTTCCTGGAAAGGGAGCCTAGAAATGTAATCAGCAACATTTGTAAAGAAATATAAGGTCTGTATTAAGAAATGAAGTGGCATGATGTAAGAACTAATGTGGTGCAATCATATGATCAACAAATGCAAAGTGCACAGGGTTTTCTTTTAGTCTACAGTATATACTTCCAGAGCAATCTCAAGAGTTCCCCATGCACGTGTGCATTTTATACATAGAATGTGCACAAACACAGGGTTAGGGAAAGTTGCCGGGTATCCAAGGGATGACCTCCCAGCCCAGGCAATCAGATGAACCTGCTCGAACAAGACATTATCTCTCTGGGGATAAATGAGGAGGCCCTTTAAAGTTGAAACACCCTTTCAATGAGCTATGAAACTGAACTTCTTCTGTTTTCCCGAGAAGTGAGAAACCAGTAAATAAAAGAGTGCCATGACCCGAGAGAGAGAGAGATTCTGGTCTCTCCCCACTCAGCTGTGACATGTATCCCTTCCCTGTTCAAGCCAAAGGGTTGGAAATGCATCACCTGAACCTTGCTGGAGAAACAGCCTTATTGCCAGGCACTTTCAGCATCCAAACCGTGCCTGGTGCTGCCTAGAGCAAATCTCTCATGGGAATGATGCACAGCATCCCACTAGCGCAGGTTAGGAGGGCTATTCCACCCCATCCTTGGTCGCCAGATGTTGAGAATGATGCTCTTAAAGGGAACGGCCAATGTTCTGATCTCTAACTCCACCAGTGCAGCGGATGCGATGTCACCAGCAGTGGCAAATTGGGGTCATAAATACTGTACTTCTTTTCCCAATGTTAGAGTGCAAGCAGCTTCATCTTATTGCTTGCGAATTACATGTATCCAAAAATTGAAAAAGGGCCAGTTTCATAAGCAGTCACCTGCCACTGATTATGATGTTACTCCTGCTGTGCTGGTGGAGTTATGGGACAGAACACTGGCCTTCATCTACCAAATTTCACCTGTCTCATGTGCAAGCATCTTCACCATGACTACGTCTGCTCAGTGGTTCAGGTCTCTGGCTAGGGAGCCAGAGATTGGGGGTTCGATTCCCCACCGGTGCCTTCTGGAACAGGGGGTCTGGATTCAATGAACCATCTGGAAAGATGGGATTAGTGCTGGAGAATCCACCCTAGAAGTGGCAAGTGACAAAACCTCTTGAGGCGCGGGCTCAAAGGAACACCCATTTGTATCACTGGAAAGAGAAATGCTTAATCATTTATTTTATTTTATTTATTTGATTTATACCCCGCCCATCTGGCCTAAATGACCACTTTAGGTGGCTTCCAGTATAGTATGAACACGCAATATTAAGGCTTGTAAACGCAGAGATATGTAGAGGAAAATATAGTGTACAAAAGGCATCAAAGTCTTTGCATGTGGAAGGCAACAGGAAAGGTGATGATGGATCCCAAAGGACTACTAAGAAGGATTGGATTTCCCCCTTCCCCCCTTGGCTGCCAGTTCAACAGGACTAATCTGAGGTGGGTGAAACAAAGCAGCCATTTTGAAAACACACAAACACACACAAAAACTCCTCATGCATGCCCATATGCATACATTTGCAAGAACCAGAAAAGAGAGCAAGAACTTGGTCTTGCCCCTGTGGAAGTCAGAAGCTGATCAATACAAGAGTGTCGTGACTGGGAGAATCAGCTTTGGTCTCTCCCCACTCAGCGTGGGATGATGCAGAGCTGGTAGGATGGTGCAACGTTGCCAAAGCCGCTCTCCTGGGGAGTGATGTCGATGTCCTGGGGGGCCACGAGGGGCTTCAGCCGGAAGCTCTGCAGGATGGTGGTGAAGAAGAGGAAAAGCTCCATGCGGGCCAAGGCTTCTCCCAGACAATACCGCTTTCCTATGAAGGAAACAGGAGCAAACTCAGCACAGAAGGACAAAATGAAGACATGCATGCAAGTATGAATGAATGCTTCTTGTCACGTGCCAAGTCATATGACCAGTGTACGAAAAAAGATTTTTGCTGAGTTCTTCCCTCATGTCAAATTGATCTTGCGTCCCAGGACATGGACGTTCTAGGATCCTGGCTGCTGTTTGCCATGGCAGCAGAAGCACATCTACATTGGCATATTCAGAAGGAGTGGCTAAGAAACAAAACAAAATGAAACAAAAGAATGTGGTCCTTTTCCTGATTGGTTGAACAGCACTTAGGAGAGCTTTACCTAAAGAAAATGGCAGAAATGCATCATTCTTTTTGAAGCGTCCATTCTCATCCAGGAAGTGGCCCGGGTTAAATTCACTGGGATTCTTAAATTTTGTTGGGTCACGCAGAACACTGTGGAGTACAGGATAAATTTCTGTCCCCTAGCAAAGAAAAGGGAAGGTTGAGATCAGAACAATTCAGACTACAATCTAGAAAGGCCACCAGTAGCCACAGGAACTCCAAACTGTGGTTCACAGGTCCCCCCGGGTGCACCGATTCCATTGAGATCACCTGCAGAAAGGCCCCCAAAATGCTCCAAACTACTGCACTGCAACCCCCTACCTTAAGGGAACAATCTATTTCACGTGGGAGAGAATGGACTGGCAATGCATAGTGCATTTGGCAACTGCCGGCACATCCCCAGAACATGTGGTTTGTGCCCTAGACAGAAAAGCATTAGGAGAATCCTCAGGCTCAGTATTTCGTTGCTTCTGATCCTGAAGGAGGATGCTGTTGTGATGAGATGATCCAAGTGATTAACTAGCACACTGCCCAGGATAGTCATAATGCAGATTTAGCTTAGTTCCCCTTTCAAGCGTTCCTGTTCCTATGACTTTAACACCTTGGTCCATTCTTCCTATGAGTTTAAAACTTAACTTCCCCCCTAAGGATGGGTAAAAGTGAATGCTTGAAAAAACCATCCCACTCAACAGTGTCAAATGCTTTTCATTTTTAAAGAAACTACAGTATCTGTGCAAGAACCCAAAACAATGTCCTAGAGTCAGAAACTGCCACAAGAAAATGAGGGTTTTGTGGAAGAAGCAGTACTTTAGTAGGGATAACCCATGGACACCACAGGACAACACTGAATAATCTACAACTTGAGCTCAACCGTCCAAGAGAACAGTTTACTCACCTCCCACTATCCTTTATGCTCTCCCCACCATTTGTACCTTAGGGATGATGTAGCCTCTGAATTCTGTGTCATGGGTAACCATGTGAGCCAAACTCATGGGGAGGAGGTCACTGAATCTCTGCACTTCGTGGATGACAGCATCCGTATACGGCATTTTGTTCCGATCTTCAATATTGGGGACTCGACTATGGCCAATCACTCGGTCAATTTCCTCATGCATTTTGGCTGTCAAACATATTCACTAAATAAGTTTCCAATTCCAGTATAGCTAAGTGGATTATTTAGCTGAAGGATATTAGTGCCTGTGAACAGCAGGGTCCAGAGGACCAGAAGTGGATGAGGCTGTTGCCCCGCCACCCTGTGGTTTCTCTAGAGATTGGCCACAGTTGGAAGGAGGAATGTGGACTCTCTCCCTTCCCTTACCTTCCACCTCTGGATATTTCAGTAGCAGCAAAAAGCCATATCTCAGTGTGGAGCTGACCGTCTCGGTCCCACCAAAGAACAGGTTAAGGGTGGTGAGCTCCAGGTTTTTCATCTGGAATTCACTAGCTGGGTTGTCTTTTTCCTGAAGGCAAATAAGAAGAAAACTGTTTAAGAATAAGGAGGGACTGATGGCAGTGGAAATAAGAAAGATGCAAACTTTGCACTTAGTCTTGACTGGAGATCGGGGTGAACATATGTGTCACCTTTATCACAGCCCAATTGTCTTTAGCTTGCATTTGAGATACCAGGTAGATATAGTACTTCCGGATGAATCAGTTTAAGCTGGAAAGGAACCATGAAAACACCACAATTGGAGAGAATTTTGCAGAAAGTGGAATTTGCATGTACTTCTTTAGCCGTATGGCTATGCTGAAAAGCAACTGAAGGAATGCTGTCAACAATCCAAGGGTCATGCAATCGCTGTAAATTTTACTGGCAGTTTTGCTCAGGAGCTATTTCAAAACACTCTCTTTCAGGTGAGCTTCAAAAATTTTTCACTGATTCTGAGAACTTCTCAAATTATTACTGTGACGTGGCTAGTTTTCTTAGACAGTTCTGCACTATGAAACCAGCCATTTTCCTATTTCCTTTTGCTCCTGTTGTTTTGAAGGCTGCAAGGAGTTCACATATTCGTTCAAAGGACCCTTTTTTGCAAGGCGTAAAAGCCTGAGATTGGAACAGTTCCTTTTCTTGAACATATCTCATCATCTTGATTCCCAATATAATGGAAGTCCCTAAATAGGAAATAAGGGACCTGCTGCCTTATACTGTAGTTGTTTTGGATTACAAACCCCATGATCCTCACCAGTGTGGACAGGGAGCAGGAAGGTGGATGTTGTAGTTCAAATGATCTGGAAGAGATCATCTTGCCGAGTGATCCCAGCCAAGCAGATCTGCACCGCTTTTCCATGCCAAGAACTTACTTTTTCCATCTGGAGGAGGAAGCAGTCAATGAAGTCCCGTGGGCAGTTGGGGTCCAGGGTCTCTTGGTTCTGCTTCACTTTCTTGGCAACAAACAGCCTCAGCACTTCCAGCATATCATATATTTTGGTGTGGGGCCCCGGAAAGTACTTCAGAAAGTCAACGTAGATATCGTAGAGCTGTGTGAGGAGAAAAGACATCTGCAGGTCAATTTATTGAGGAACCCTCAAAGCAGCATCAAAGTTTCCTGTTCAGTTTTGAGCCAAGGTCTGTTGCTGACTTATGACTCTGGTTTATCTTGGAGAGACGAACCACAGGTAAGAAGAAACACACCATGGGTGGAAGGCCAGGACTTGTTTGGGCCAGTCCGGCTTGCTGAAGAAGATGACTGATAGCGCAACCTCAACAGAATGGCTTGCGCATCACTGTCCCAAGTACAGGCATGGTTCCCATTAACAGAATTAATGGATGAAACCAGAAAGCAGAAAATTTGCCAAATACAGAAGATCCATTAGCAACATAAAACAAGCATCTGTCAATGATAAAAATTCTGGAAGATAGTTGTGTGATGCCAGCTGAACATTCAGAAGGAATCACACTCTTTTCCAAACTTCATTTACAAGGGAACCTTAGGGTGCATATTAGAGTTATTTGGTTTTTTTAATAGGTTAATTGCTGTTCATTAAATTTGTGAAGCCTGAAATATCGTATTCAGTCACTTTGCTTATCAGCAGGAAAGCTAGCTCTGAATGTTTACTTCACCAGACGTTTCCCTCATCCAGGAGTCCCTCTGCTCAATTAGTTGAGAGAGAAAAAAAGAAAGAGATTCTCCAAAGAAGAGGAAGAAGGGGGAAGAAGTGGAAAGGCTGAATTAATCATTTCTGTCGATAGGGAACAAGACCAGTGGGGAAGAAAAGCAATGGAGGTCAAGGTAAGAAGACAGAAAAAAGGGAAAGGGAAAGATTAGGGACATGGCAGGAAGGACAGAACATCAAGATGGGTCATAGAAAGAGCACTTTGTAGAAATAAGAGCAATGAGATGAAAAGGAGAAGGAAGGGAACCCAGCTGGAGCGGATAGCAAGGGGTTCCTTAACTCTGCAAAGTTATACACTTGTTCTACCATGCTTGGAGGCAAAGGCACTGGTGACATTGAAAATGGTGTCAAGTCCAGCTCAAGTTTAATGGTGGAATCCCACTTCTTACATCGTATGCTCTTTCTGGAATTTGAAACCCGGTCCCCTTGCCATGAGCAAAGACAGAGGTGTTGGGGTACCTGGGCCCAAGCTGTACTCATTTCCCGGAAGCTGTTCCTTATCATTTCCATGAGGGTCTGGAATTCCTGGTCCTCGTAGTCAAAGCGGTTTCCAAACATGATGGAGCAGATGACGTTGGAGACCGCCCGGCTGAAGAAATACGTGGGGTCAAAGGGCTTCCCTGGAGCACAAGAAAGGGACGAGTCATTGCACTGAAGGTACCTTGGAACAATTTCCTTCCTCTCAATCTGCACTTTTAGCATTGGTCAAATGATTGTAAACATCCATATTTCTCATTCATTTATTCCCCCGTTATCTGATCCCTCGTTCTCCCCATTACATAACCAGAGGACTGAATTGAGTTAAATTCCTAATCTTTCCCTCCTGATTATCACACTTTCCTGCGTGCCAAAGCGGTATGTGTGCTTGGGATCAAATTTCTTCCCCTGAGTTAAGTCTGTATAGGTTTTAGGCTTGCACGACTTCCACTGGGCAGATGGGCCTGAACCCCTCCTGGTCCCCCCCAACCTCTCACCTTTGGTCTTCCTAAATTCCTCCAGCAGGAACTGGGCCTCTTCCTGGATTCGCTCCTCAATGGACTTTTTCCCCATCCCCAAATTCCTCAAGACGGTGAGAGAGAACCGGCGGAGTTGCTTCCAGCGCTCACCATTGGAAAACATGAGACCTACAGAAAGGAAACACAAGGTGGAATTGCCAGACTGAAAGACAAGGTCAACTGATATCATTGCTGTGAGGTCAGTTGGGGCTTCTCACCATGACCTTGGAAGGTCCTCTCCAGAGTCGGGGCAGTTTTCCTCCCGCTGAATTCCTCTGCCTTGTCTATCAGGGCCTCTTTCACAGCGTCGTGTCCGCACAGGACCACAATCGGACGACTTCCAAAATAGACGGTGAAGACTGGCCCATATTTGTCCCTCAGCTGCAAAGGAAAACAGTCCATGAAAGAGTTAGTGCTAATTTCTGGTGGCGTGATCTTGTGACTTAGGAACAACTGTGCTGTTTTGTCCTTTAAAATGGGGATTCAAGAGAATATTAGAAAACCCTTTGTCAGATCTGCTTTGATTTCGATTCCTGTGGTGGTGGTGGTTGGTGCATGTTTTTTCTGTCTCCTTCATTCCCTAAATTATTTTCATTGGTAAGTAAAAAAAAGATAAAACCAGCCACTTTTTTGCAGTCTGAAACAAGGGTAAACAAGACTTCAGACACATACTTAGCTGCATAAAAAAGCTAGTGAAAGGCTGAGTAGGCAAAATAGAATGGCTGGAGAGTGGAAGAGGAGGAAAACGACAGGCGGGTGCCAATCATCTCCTTCAATTTATCAGTATGTCTGGAGTTACAGCTTTATCAGGAATACCGACAGCCCTGGGTTCCCTTACCTTGAGAAGAGATTTTAAGGTTTGTGAGGACTTGATTTGCAGGAAATTCCCGAGCAGGGGCAGGGGTGTGGGTCCAGGGGGGAGCTTCCCCTCGGCTGTCGTCTTCTTTTTAGATAGGGTGAGAAGTAGGCAGGAGAGGGCAAGGAGAAGGATCAGGGTGACGGCTCCAAGCAGCTCCATGCTGAAGGTTACTGCCTGTTCCGCTCTGTGGATGCCTGTCTTGTTTTGCAGTGACCTTATATATTTTCTTGGGAGTGGTCTAAGCACCACCTTTTGGGTTATGACACCATGCAGGAGAAATATGTTGACTGCTCATTCTTTGAAACTAGTCTCAAACTAGCGATTTTTCCCCTCTGGTTAATCTATTTTATGACCAGGACCTACGGGTTTGCATTTCCAAGTGTCCAGAGATAAAAGAATTTCTACAATGTCACCCAATGATGGCTGTTTTTAAATTACTGTAGTTGTACAATGCCTCAAGGGATTCTTCTCCCTCCCTCCTTCCCTCCCTCTCTTTACTGTTGGCTCCTTCAAAGTCCTGCTGGACTTGGGGGAATGCCCTTTGTACTCTGAACAGCAACAAAACAAGGCAGACCACCCGAAAATAATGAAATTACTGAATTTAGCCTCGGGCACCTTTTTTAGACACTCAAACCCCTCCCCAACCTCAGGGATCACATTCGGGTAAAATATAGAAAGATTTATTAAAAGTTATGAAAAAAAAGTTATAAAGAAATCAAAAAGGAGATTGTACAGTTCCAAAAGAATATGAAAGCAATAGGCAGTGCATATCCAAAGACAGTAACTAAATGAGCCATCTGAAAGCAATACCCATAAAATAATAAAAATTAACTACTTCTGAATAAAAACTATCTGTCAACTAAGTAACCATAGGTAAAGCTTCTTCCTCTACGTCTCCATCCATCACCATCAACAGATAGCCATCATCTCTCCATCCTCTGTCTTTTTTCTAATGAGCTTCTTGTTAGATCTTAAATCAATGTTCCCCCAACATGACGTAATCCAATCAGGTTCAAGTTCTTTGCCTAGAACAGAGCAAACAAGTCTTCTTTCTCATAAGGATAACGACTAAACAACAACAAGTAGCCACCACAAACTGCAGCAGTCAGGAACCCATACAAAGAAAGGATGAATCTGTGGAAGAAGCAGTACTTTAGTATAACTCATGGAAGCCACAGGGCAACACCAAGGAAGCTACGACTCTTGCTCAATTGTCCAAGAGAACAGTTTACTCACCTCCCACTATCCTTCATGCTCTCCCCACCATTTGTACCTTAGGGATGATGTAGCCTCTGAATTCTGTGTCATGGGTAACCATGTGAGCCATACTTATCGGAAGGAGGTCACTGAACTTCTGCACCTCATGGATGATAGCATCCGTATACAGCATTTGGCTTTGGTCTTCAGTATTTGGGATCCGACTATAGCCAATCACTCGGTCAGTTTCCTCATGCATCTTGGCTGTCAGCTGTATTCACTAAATTAGTTCCAGCCGTTTCTAATAGCTAAGTGGATTTTAACTTGAAGAACATTAGTTCCTGTGAGCACCAGGATCCAGAGGACCAGAAGCAGGTGACGGTTGTTGCCCACCTGCCCTGTGGTTTCTCTAGAGGTTGGCCACAGTTTGAAAGAGGAATTGGGACTCTCCGCCTTCCCTTATCTCGCACCTCAGGATATTTCAGCAGCAGCAGAAAGCCATCTCTTAGGTTGGAGCTGACCGTCTCTGTCCCACCAATGAACAGGTTAAGGGTGGTGAGCTCCAGGTTCTTCATGTGGAATTCACTGGCTGGGTTCTCTTTTTCCTGAAAGCAAATAAGATGAAAACTGGTCAGGAACAAGGAAGGACTGGTGGCACTGGAAATGAAAAAGATAGAAACTGGCTTTTTGTCTTGAGTGTGAAAGGAGATCAGGTTAAACCCGTTGTCTTTTGGTTTGCCTTTGAGATACCAGGTTGGTAGAATATCTCTGTCTGAATCAGTTTAAGCTGGAAAGGGGCTGTGGAAACACTGGAACTGAAAGGAAATGTGCAACTGGTGCTGTTTATGTACATACTTTGGGTGGTCTGGCTATACTGAAAAGCGACTGAAGGAATGCTGTCAACAATCCAAGGGTCAAGCAGTCACTGTAAGTTTTACTGCCATTTTTGCTGATGGGCTATTTCAAAACACTCCCATTCAGGTGAGCTTCAAAAATTTTCCACTGATTCTGAGAAATTATTTACTGTGACATGGGTAGCTTTTTAGACAGTTCTGCACTATGAAATCAGGCCATTTTCCTATTTCCTTATTTCCTTTTGCTCCTGTTGTTTCGAAGGCTGCAAGGAGCTCATCATTTTGACTCCAGTTATAATTGGAGTCTTGGAAAGAGGTGAAGGGAACCTGCTGCCTGATCATTGTTTTGGATTACAGTCCCCACCTCCTCCTCTTTGGAATCTGGCCAAGGCTGAAGGCATGGCTCTCCTGATCTTCTTGACACTGGTTCTTCCATCTCCATCTGCACCTCCAGGTTGGGGGTGCCCATAGACCCAGACTGAGTTCTGGTGGGATGTTCAGGTTCAGGTCAAAGTACAGAGGTCATCTGCATGTGATCCCTCCCTCCCACCTAATTTACCCTAATCACATGTTTGCTCTTTTGTCACCAAGGCAGGAGTGAAGGTATTTGTCACAAGGCAGAAGTCATCTCGTACATCCTCCTGCCTTCCCAAACTAGGAAAACCTGGCCTGTTCTTTCCTTTCTCAGCAGCAGATGGGATCCTGATTCCAGGGCATGTTTCCAAACTAGGAAAACCTGTTCTTTCCTTTCTCATCAGCAGATGGGATCCTGATTCCAGGGCATGGCCGCTGCGATGAAGCTGAATGATGTGAAAAGTCTGACCCCCCACACACACAGAATGCAATGGGTGTGTGTATGTCGAGGTGAACTTTGGAGGTTTGGGGTGGACCCTTTGTGCAGCGTTGGATTCGAAGAGTGCAAAGGGGGAGAGGCTTCATATTTCTCTTTGGAAGACCCTGTCCCTTGGTTCAAGAGGAACCAATCTCTCCCCCACCCACCTCCTTCTCCCCCAAGCTAGCCAGTACAGTTAATGATCTTCAGTCCATTGATCTTGCATGACGTGCCAAATGCTCTGAAGGAATGTTGGGCCTTTGAAGTAGAGGCGGCTTCTTTTGGCTCCTTCAAACCCCTGACAGATTTGGGGAAATCCTATTCTGAAGAGCTGGCTGGTCCCAAAGGAATCTTCTCCCTCTCTTGCAGTGACCCATAGAGGGATCCCTTCTAAGGATAAATCCCTCACCACCCCCACTCAGAGGTGACAAGGGAAGAATAACATGAGATAGCACTCATGGACCTTTTCATCATCCCAAGGGAAACCAATCTTTGGACCTTTTGTGTCTGTACATTAGTATCATATGGAATTCATTCCCACAGCTTCCAAAACACCTTCAAGGGTAGCCCCATGTAGAGAACACTGCAATAGTCAGTCCTTAAGATTACCAATGCATGAACCAGTGTTATTAAGGACTGCCAGTCGAGAAGCGGACAGAGGTGTGCAATTAGCCTCAGGTGGAAAAAGGCCGGTTTGGCCAAAGCCAGGATCTGTTTCTCCATGGAGAGGGCTGGGTCCTGAAGCACACCCAGATTACAGGCCTGACCCTTCAGGGGGAGTGTGACCCTATCAAGATCAGGCAACAACACCACCACCCCCAATTTATGAGGATGACCTTCCACCAGCAGGATTTCCATCTTGTCATCATTCAGTTTGAGGCTATTTGCCCTCATCCTGGCCATAACCGCAGCCAGGCAATGGTCTAGGGTCTGTGCAGCATCTCCGGCTGAAGATGAAAAGGAGAGAGGGAGTTATGTGTCATTTGCGTACATGACAACACACTCCTAATCTCTGAATGGCCTCCCCCAGTGGCCTCATATAGATGGTAAACAGCAAAGGGGAGATGATCGACCCCTGTGGGACACTACATTGTAGCATCCGTGGGGACAAAAACAGGTGTCCCAAGCTGGACACCCTGGCAGTGGCCATCAAGGAAGGAATGATGCCAGCATTAGAAGGAAGTAATGCTAGGCCTCCAATCCCCAATCCCAACAATGGGTCCAGGAGGATACCGTGGTCGAACGTATCAAAGGTGGCTGAGAGTTCCAGGGGGACCAATGGAGTCACATTTCTCGGGTCAGTCTCCCGTAACAGGTCATCTAGCAGGGCAACCAGAATGGTCTCCTATAGATCTCGTATATGACATGGCCTGAAACCCATTGAAATGGATCCAGACTATCAGTATCATTCAACAACACCTGCAGTTTGTTGGCAACCAACCTCTCAAATCAGTTTCCCCATGATTGGTAAGTTAGCAACTGGACGATCGCTGTTCAGGCTGTCGGTTGGCAAGTTGGCTTTTTTTCAGAATGGGTTGGATCATTGTCTCCTTCAGAGTGGGAGGTAAATATCCCTCCTGTAAGGAGAAGCCCATGATCTTTGTGTCCCATTCAATGGTCACTACCTTGGCCGATTCTAAGAGGCAGGAGGGGAATGGGTCTGACTGGGAGGAATTTGCCCTCGAGTATGCATGTGCCTTCTCCACACCATCAGACAACACAGGCTGAAAAAGATCCAATAGAACCGGACCAGATGGTGCGTTGGACATCTCAATGTGGTGAAGATGGATGGCCTCAATCTTGGCGCGAATATGGGTTGTAAACCGCTCATAAGTAGTGATGTTCAGCTGAGGGCCTGGATGTTGCCTGGCTCTGGTGAGGCTGTGGAACACCCTAAAGGGACATGATCTGTAATTACATATATATGACTGGATCCAGCTAGAATCCAAAAGACCATGGCCTTCTGCTGCCACTGGGTCTGGAACTCCGTCTGCACTCCATGTGCTCTCATGGCCTTAAAGAAAAGGAACCTACTGACTAATGGTCAAAGTCCCAAAGCAAATGCTATGTGCGCAAATCTTTTTTAATATATATATACTTCCAAGGCAATCACAACAGTTTCACTTATGTATTTATATTTTATACACAGAAAATACAAAAAGCAAGGTTAGGGAAAAGGCTGCAGTGGGTGAAAGGGGTAACATTCCTGCCCAGGCTGCCAAACGCACCTGTTCCAACAGGGCATAATCTATGTGAATAAATTAGGAAGCCATTTAAATGTAGAAACACCCTTTGAAGGTGCTATGAAGCAAAATATTTTCAGTTCCCCTTTAGAGTTTTGAGAATCCAGTAAATACAGTGATTCGAGATAGAGTATTTGGTCTCTCCTCACTCAGCGTGGGATAATGCAGAACTGGTAGGGGGGTGGGATGGTGGCAAAGCCACTCTCCTGGGGAGTCGTGTCAATATCTTTAGGGGCCACGAGGGCCTTCAGCTGGAAGCGCTGCAGAATTGTGGTGAAGAAGAGGAAAAGCTCCATGCGGGCCAAGGATTCTCCCAGACAGATCCGCTTCCCTACAAAGGAAACGGAGATAAACTCAGCAGGGAAGAGTAAATGAATGAATGAATGAATGAATGAATGAATGAATGAATGAATGAATGAATGAATGAATGAATGAATGAATGAATGAATGAATGAATGCTTCCTGTCACATGCCAAGTGATATAACTACTTTGGAACAACAACAGAAATTAGAACTGCTGACTTCTTCACCGGTATCAGTTTGGACTTGCATCTCAGCAGCCTAACCCAGCAGGAATAGCAAAGGTACAAAACAGAAGTTTTTTTTTTTAAAGAATGTGATTCTTCTCCCCATCAGTTAAACTGTACTTAGGAGAGCATTACCTGAGGAAAATGGCACAAATGCATCATTCTTTTTAAAGCGTCCATTCTCATCCAGGAAGTGGCCCGGGTTAAATTCATTGGGGTTCTTAAATTTTGTTGGGTCGTGCAGAACACTGTGGAGTAAGGGGTAAACCTCTGTGCCCTGGCAAAGAAAAGGGAATGTAGAGGTCAGAACAATCGAGGCTATGATCCAGAAAGGGCACCAAGAGTCCAAAGAGCTCCAAACTGATTCACAAGGCTCTTGGGATGCACCAGGTCCATTGCTATCATCTGCAGAACGGCCCCAGAAATGTTCTGAAGTACAGCATCGCAACCCCCTAACTTTGGAGAACAATCTTTGTCGTTAGGACTACTATTGTTTTTAGCTTGTAATATATTGTTTTCATGATGCCAGCCACCTAGGGTCCTTTTGGAGAGAAAGGCTGACTGGCTGGCTGGATGCATGCATGTTGTGACCAGATGATCCAAGTGATTAACAGGAACACTGCCCAGGATAGTCATAATGCAGATTTAGCTCACTTTACTAGTTTTCCCTTTAAAATTTACTATTCCTGTGACTTAAAAATTATTGATTCCTGCTTCCTATTACTTTAAGACTTTAAGCCTAATTAACCTCCTAAGAATGTTTGTTATCTTTGTACATTGTAGTTGCTTTTTAAATATAATGATGGGTAAAACGGACTCTTAGACAAAACCACCCACTCGACAGTGTCAAGTGCTTTTTCATTTTTAAACAGCTCTTTTCACAAGTAGCCACCTCACTCTCCAGCAGTCACAAACTTCCACAAGGAAATGAAGACTTTGTGGGACAAGCACTACTTTAGCAGCCAAGACTGGTGAATTGAAGTAGATATCCTATCACATTTTTCTCAACCGTCCAAGAGAACACTTTGCTCATCTCTCACTATCTTTCATGCTATCCCCACCATTTTTACCTTAGGGATGACGTAGCCTCTGAATTCTGTGTCACGGACAACCATGTGAGGTACACCCAAGGGGAGGAGGTCACTGAACCTCTGTATTTCATGGATGACAGCATCTGTGTAAGGCATTTGGCTTCGGTCTTCAATGTTAGGGGCCCGGCTATGGCCAATCACTTGGTCAATTTCTTCATGCATCTTGGCTGTAAATGTATTCAGTAAATTAGTTCCATCATTTTCAAATCCAAATATACTCTAGCTAAATGGAATTTTAAGTTGAAGGACACTAGTGCCTGTTAACAGCGATGGGAAAGAGGGCCAGAAGCAGGTGACGGTTGGTGCTCACCTGCCCTGTGGTTTCTCTAGAGGTTGACCACAGTTCAAAAGAGGAATCAGGACTCTTTGCCTTCCCTTACCTTCCACCTCAGGATATTTCATCAGCAACAGAAAGCCATATCTGAGTGTGGAGCTGACCGTCTCTGTCCCACCAATGAACAGGTTAAGGGTTGTGAGCTCCAGGTTCTTCATCTGGAATTCGCTGGCTGGGTTATATTTTTCCTGAAGGCAAACAAGAAGAGAACTGGTCAAGAACAAGGAAGGACTGGTAGCACTGGAGATGGGAAAAACTGAAGCCCACATTTTGTCTTGAGGGTGACTGGAGATCGGGGTTAGGCATATACGTCACCATTACTACAGCCCAGTTGGCTTTACGTTTGAGTTCGAGATACGAAGTGTGTGCAATATCTCTGGCTGAATCAGCTTTAGCTGGAAAGGGGGCCAGGCAGGTGCTGGAATTGGAGGAAATTTTGCAGAAAGTGAAATTTACATATATTTCACTTGGGCAATCATGCTATGCTGAAAGGGACTAAAGTAATGCTTCAAAAGTGAGCTTGAAGTGAGCTTCAAAAGTTTTCCACTGATTCAGAGACCTTCTCAAACAATTTACTGTGACAGATAGTTTTTCAGATGGTTCTGCAATATGAAATCAGCCATTTTTCTATTTCTTTTTGCTGCTGTTGTTTTGAAGGCTGCAAGTTGTTCACATTTTCACTCAAAGTACCATTTTTACAAGGCGTAAAAGCTGGAAATTGGAGTTGTTCTTTTTTTAACATCTCTCATCATCTTGACTCCCACTATAATTGGAGTCTTCAGAAGGGATATAGGGAACCTGCTGTCTGATAATTCTTTTGGATTACAATCCCCATGTGGACAGGGACAGGGAGATGGGAGCTGTAGTTCAAAAGATCTGGAAGAGATCATATTGTCTAGCAATCCTAGCCGAGCAGATAACTCACCAGTTTTCCATACGAAGAACTTACCTTTTCCATCTGAAGGAGGAAGCAGTCGATGAAGTCTCGCTGGTAATTGGAATCCAGGGTCTCTTGGTTCTGCTTCACTTTCTTGGCAACAAAGACCCTCATTACTTCAAACATATCATATATTTTGGTTTCGGGCCCAGGAAAGTACTTCAGGAAGTTAACGTAGATATCATAGAGCTGTGTGAGGAGAAGAGACATCCAAACATTGATTTATTGGGGAACCAACAAAACAGCATCAAAGATTCCTGCAGATTGTCAGGACAGGTGAGAGAAAGAGCATCTTTTAGAAAGAAGGGAAGAACTCTTTCCTTCATGTAAGAAAAGGCTTATTGAGATATGAGAGGAAAAGAAAGAGAAGGAGGAGAACCCAGCTAGAGTGGTAACATGGGGGTTCCTTAACCTTACAAATTGGGTGGGGGGGAGCACTTGTCCTACCATGCATGGAGGCAAAGGCACTGGTGACATTGGAAGTGGCGTCAAGTCCAGCTCAAGTTTAATGGTGGAATCCCACTTCTTACATCGTGTGTTCTTTCTAGATGTTGGAACCCAGTCTTCTTGCCATGAGCAAAGACAGAGGTGTTGGGGTACCTGAGCTGAAGCTGTACTCAACTCCCGGAAGCTGTTCCTTATCATTTCCATGAGGGTCTGGAATTCCTGGTCCTCGTAGTCAAAGCGGTTTCCAAAGACGATGGAGCAGATGACGTTGGAGACCGCTCGGCTGAAGAAATACGTGGGGTCAAAGGGCTTCCCTGGAACACAAGAAAGGGACAAGTCATTGCGCTGAAGGTACCTTGGAACAATTTCCTTCCTCTCAATCTGCTCTTTTATCATTGGTCAAATGATTGTACACATCCATATTTCTCATTCCTTTATTCCCCCGTTATCTGATCCCTCGTTCTCCCCATTACATAACCAGAGGACTGAACTGAGTTAAATTCCCAATCTTTCCCTCCTGACTATCACACTTTCTTGTGTGCCAAAGCGGTATTTGTGCATGGGATCAAATTTCTTCTCCTGCCTTATGTCTGGATGGGTTTTAGGCTTGCACGACTTCCACTGGGCAGATGGGCCTGAACCCCTCCCTGTCACCCCCCAAAAACATCTCACCTTTGGTCTTCCTAAATTCCTCCAGCAGGAACTGGGCCTCTTCCTGGATTCGCTCCTCAATGGACTTTTTCCCCATCCCAAAATTCCTCAAGACGGTGAGAGAGAACCGGCGGAGTTGCTTCCAGCGCTCACCATTGGCAAACACAACACCTGGAGAGGCAGGAGCAAAGTGGAAGGGCCACCGGGAAAGACAATAAAAATTGGATATCATTACTGTGAGGTCAGTTGGGGCTTCTCACCATGTCCTTGGAAGGTCCTCTCCAGGGTCGGGTTGGTTTTCCTCCCACTGAATTCCTCTGCCTTGTCTATCAGGGCCTCTTTCACAGCATCGTGTCCGCACAGGACCACAATTGGACGACTTCCAAAATAGACGGTGAAGACTGGCCCATATTTGTCCCTCAGCTGCAAAGGAAAACAGTCCATGAAAGAGTTAGTGCTAATTTCTGGTGGCGTGATCTTGTGACTTAGGAACGACTGTGCCGTTTTGTCCTTTAAAATGGCTCACCCTCAGAATTGACCAAGCTGGCCAATGAGGCTGATAGACCAACTTCATTCAGGGGCACAAGGTCTAACTGTAGGAAAGAAGGTCTCCTGCAATAGATCTCATGTGTGTCTGGGTCTGCCCCATGCTCCACTATTAATTGGAATGGTGACGCGCCGGAGACAAGGCAATGCTTAGCCTTTATCCCATATATCTCCTTTAAAGCTCCTTTCAAAGGAAAAGAAAACAACATAATACCAGGAAGAGTTTGTGCTGCCCCCTATTGTTGTTTTGTATTCTTGTCTTCCAAAGGAAGGGTGTATAGATTGTCAAGAATCCTGTCGTTAAACATTTTGACGAGTACGCTGTTGAAGGTTGGTGGGACGGAAACCTCTACTTATGTACTTACACTGATTCCTATTCATCGCCAAGGTCTCCAGAGGCCATAGCACCAGCCAGAAGATGAAAGGAGGCAAATAGCTTTTCTGTATTCTTATACAATTCCTGCTAGTTCTGTTGCCTTTACGTTTGGAGAGAAATGTGCAAATTGATTCCAGAGGAAAGGGGCCCCCTTCCCACCTGTCCGAAAGGTGGTATGCAGTTATTCCATCTCATTTGTTCTCTAACAGATTTACATTAATAATTTTAAAAGAAAAAAAATCTTTAAAGACCCAGCAGGTTTTGGGCAATCTGCAGTCCTGAGGCCGTGGTAAACAAGATTCCAAATACCTGCTTAACTGCATGAAAAAGCTAGAGAGAGGCTGAGGAATTATACAAACAAGAATGACTGGAGATGAAAGAGGAAGAAATGGACCGGCAAGGGCATGAGAGACTCCTGACCATCTCCTTCCATTTGTCAGGATACTGGGAATGCCGACAGCGCTGGGTTCCATTCCAAGGGACACTCACTTACCTTGAGAAGAGATTTTAAGGTCTGAGAGGACTTGATTTGCAGGAAATTCCCAATCAGGGGCAGGGGGGTGGGTCCAGGGGGGAGCTTCCCCTTGGCTGAGGTCTTCCTTTTAAATACGGTGAGAAGCAGGCAGGAGAGGCCGAGGATAAGGAGCAGGGTGACGGCTCCAGACAGCTCCATGATGAAGGTTACTGCCTGTTTCACTCTGCGGATGCCTGTCTCGTTTTGCTCTGGTTTTATATATTTTATTGGAAGTAGCCTAAGCACCACCTTCCAGGTTACATATAACTGGCCAAGACAAACATGTTATATGCTGAATCATTGAAATGGGGTTCAAATATATTGATCTTTTCCCTGGTTAATCAGCACTGTGAACATGTGATTCACAGGACATACGGGTTAAATTTCCAAATACCCAGATATAAAATAATTTCTACACTTTTCACCTGTCGGTGTCTGTTTTCAAACTAGCCATGAAATATCTCAAGTGCTGCTTGCTCGCTCTCTCTAGGCGATAAACCGAACCCTGATTTCTCTAGCAATGTTGTTTGATTTTGAACTTCTCTGAGAATAGTTAGATTTTTTTATCCAGTGTTTGAGGAATGTGAAAAACTCAGTATTGAGGTTCTGAAAAGTAGAGGAGGAGATTTGAGGAACCGTATCAGAGAGGGAGGTCAGACTAGAAGGGGGATTCCTTGGCCAGAGTCTGCACAACCCCAGAACATGTGGTTTGTACTCACGACAGCACTGGACCAGGGGAAAAAGATGCAGGAGACGGAGGGCACCTTTTAGGGATATGATCTGTGATTGTGTGATTGTTTATAGGACTGGATTCAGCCCGAGCAGCAACGACCTTCTGGTGCCACTGTGTTCCACATGCTCCATGTTTCCCTGTGGTCTTAGAGAAGAGGAACCTGGTGGGTGGTGATCAAAGTCCAAAAAAGAAAGGCTAAATGCACAGGCGTTTAATATGTATACTTCCAATGCAATTTCAAAGCTTTCACATATGTACCTATGTTTCATACATAGAAAATAAAAAAGGAGGGTTAGGAAAAAGCTGTAGTGGGTGAAAGGGGTGGCCTTCCTGCCCAGGCTGTCAGATACACCTGTTCCAACAAGGTGTAATCTTGGGGGATATAAATGAAGGAGCCATGAAACTGAATGTCTTCTGTCCCACGCTGGAGATCTGAGCATCCAGTAAGTACAAGAGTGTCATGACCCAGGACAGAGCCTTTGGTCTCTCCCCACTCAGCGTGGGATGGTGCAGAGTTTGTAGGAGGGTGGGATATTGGCGAAGCCGCTCTCCCGGGGAGTCGTGTCAATGTCCTGGGGGGGCACGAGGGGCTTCAGCTGGAAGCTCTGCAGGATGGTGGTGAAGAAGAGGAAGAGCTCCATGCGGGCCAAGGATTCTCCTAGACACATCCGTTTCCCTGTGAAGGAAGCAAGAGCAAAGTCAGCACTGAAGGGTAAAATAACAAATGAATCAACAAACGAATGGACAAATACCTGCATAAATAAACAAATGAACACTTTGCATCACATGCCAAGTCACATGACTGGGGTGAATGAAAAAGATATCATCATGAATTTCTTCACTACTGTCAACTTGCACCCCAGTGCATGGAGGTTCTAGGTTGCTGTTAGCTGTAGCAGCAGAAGTATGTCCACGTTAGCATTTTCAGAAGAAATGGCCAAGAAACAGAACAAAAGAAAAGAATGTGACCCTTCTCCCCATGAGTTAAACTGTACTTGGGAGAGCTTTACCTAAGGAAAATGGCACAAATGCATCATTCTTTTTAAAGCGTCCATTCTCATCCAGGAAGTGGCCCGGGTTAAATTCATTGGGGTTCTTAAATTTTGTTGGGTCGTGCAGAACACTGTGGAGTAAGGGGTAAACCTCTGTGCCCTGGCAAAGAAAAGGGAATGTAGAGGTCAGAACAATCGAGGCTTCGATCCAGGAAAGGCACCAGCGGCCCTAAGAACTCCAAACTGTGGTTCGTAAGCCCCCCCCGGGTGCACCAATTCCATTGAGATTGCCTGAAGAACGGCCCCGGAAATGTTCCGAAGTACAGCATCATGTGGGATTCGGGTGGCACTGTAAACCGCTGAGCCACTGGGCTGTCGGTTGAAAGGTCAGCAGTTCAAATTCTCACGATGGGGTGAGCTCCCACTGCTTGTCCCACCTCCTGTCAACCTAGCAGTTTGAAACCACACAGAACATATGGTTTGTGCCCCAGACAGCAAAGGCCTAGGAGAATACTCAGGTTCAATATTTTGTTGCTTCTGATCCTGAAGGAGGATGCTGTTGTGATGAGATAATTCAAATGTTTAATAGGAACACAGCCAAGAGTTGTGATCTCTATACATGAGAAATGTGATTTTAATATGATGATAGCTCGGAGCAACATCTTGAAAAAACCATCCTACTCAACAGTGTCAAATGCTTTTTCATTTTTAGAAATAGCTCTCTGTACAAATAGCCACCCCAAACTCCAGTAGTCAGAAACCTCTACAAAGAAATGAGGGCTTTGTGGAAGAAGCAGTAGTTTAGTAGTCATAACCCGTAGATGCCACAGGACAATACTGAATAACCTATGACTCTTACTCAACCATCCAAGAGAACAGTTTACTCGCCTCCCACTATCCTTCATGCTCTCCCCAACATTTGTACCTTAGGGATGATGTAGCCTCTGAACTCTGTGTCACGGGTAACGGTGTGAGCCACACTCATGGGGAGGAGGTTGGTGAATCTCTGTATTTCATGGATGACAGCATTCGTATATGGCATTTGGCTCCGATCTTCAATGTTTGGAGCCCGACTATCACCAATCACTCGATCAATTTCTTCATGCACCTTGGCTGTCAAACATATTCACTAAATTAGTTCCATGAGTTTCTAATTCCACAATAGCTAAGTGGAATTTTATGTTGAAGGACACTAGTGCCTTGGAATAGGAGGGTCCAGAGGACTGGAAGTGGGTGAGGGTTGTTGCCCCGCCACCCTGTGGTTTCTCTAGAGGTTGTCCATAGCTGGAAGGACTCTCTCCCTTCTCTTACCCTGCACCTCGGGATACTTCATTAACAGCAGAAACCCAGATCTCAAGGTAGAGCTGACAGTCACTGTCCCACCAAAGAACAAGGAAAGGACAGTGAGCTCCAGGTTCTTCAAGCTGAATTCACTGGCTGGGTTGTCTTTTTCCTGAAGGCAGATAAGAACGAAACTGGTCAAGAGCAGGGAAGGACTGGTGCAACTTGAAATAAGAAAGAAGGAAATCTGTATTTATTTTTTTTTGAGGATGATATTTATTACACTCAGTGTAATATTTTTAATAAAGCCCAGTTGACATTTGGTTTCCATTTGAGATACCTATCTCAGGCTGAATCCGTTTTAAGCTGGGAAGGGAGCCATGAAAGCATCAGAATTGCAGGGAACTTGGCAGAAAGTGGAATTTACCTGTATATCCTGGGCATCCTGGCCATGTTGAAAAGGGAGTAAAGTAATGCCATCATCATTCCAAGGAATATAGGATATTGTTGTAAATGTTAGTGGCATTTTAGCTCAGGGGTGATTTCAAAGCGTTCGTTTCCAGGGGAGCTTCAAAAGATTTCCACTGATTCCAAGCACTTCTCAAACTATCAACTGTGACATGTGTAGTTTTTTAGACAGTTCTACACTATGAAATCAGCCATATTGATTTAAAACACTGGGTCTTTCGCATGGCTCTTGTTTCTTTTGAAGGGTGTGAGGAGTTCACATTTTAATTCTGAAATGAATCCTTTGCAAATTGTAAAAGCCACTTATGGGAATAGTTTCCTTTTTTGAACGTCTCTCAAACATAGTTTCAATAGTTCTTTTTAACAAGCCCTTGGTCTTGGCTAGAGACTACACTGGAGCAGATTGGATTGGGGCTAAATAGGGAAAGGTCATCATCCTCACGATGGCCAAACCCAGTGTGCAAACCTAGTGCAATCAGCTGGACAGGATCCATGGAACCAAAATATTGTCGAGTCATTGGACTTGGAAATTTTCCAAGTGTGTGGCGAGGCAAGGTGAGGGCAGAGGATTTTCATTCCCCATTCCAGGACAGAAGGTGGGAAGATAGATTTTTTTATTGCTAAAAACCTGGAAGATAAAATCTTGCTAAGCGATCCTAGGTGAGCAGATCTCCACCAATTTCCCATGAAACTGTGAAGGATGGGTGAAATACCACATGATTAGAGGGAAGCCAACTTTTCCATGCCAAGAACTTACTTTTTCCATCTGGAGGAGGAAGCAGTCAATGAAGTCCCGTGGGCAGTTGGAGTCCAGGGTCTCTTGGTTCTGCTTCACTTTCTTGGCAACAAACAGCCTCAGCACTTCCAGCATATCATATATTTTGGTGTGGGGCCCCGGAAAGTACTTCAGAAAGTCAACGTAGATATCGTAGAGCTGTGTGAGGAGATGAGACATCCTGAGTTCAATTTATTAAAGAAGCAACAAGGGAGCATCAAAGATTCCTGCTTTGCTCTGAGCAGGTGAAAAACAGACACACTCCTTAGTTCTGCCTAAATGGGTACTACGGGGTTCCTCAACCCGATATAGCCTTGGAATTCTTCTACTGTGCCTAGAGGGAGATTTATTAATGATGCTGAAACTGGTGTCAGGTTCTGCTCCAGTTTTACAGGGTGGAATCCCATTTCTAAGGTCACAAGTTCTTTATGGATGTTGACACCAGTTGTCCTTTGCTTTTCTACGAGGGAACACCGAAGTCTTCGGATACCTGAGCCCCAGCTGTGCTTATCTCCTGGAAGGCGACCCCGATCATTTCCACGAGAGTCTGGAATTGCTTGTTGGCAAAGTCAAAGCGGTTTCCAAAGATGATGGAGCAGATGACGTTGGAGACGGCCCGGCTCAAGAAGGACGTGGGGTCAAAGGGCTGCCCTGGAGCAGGAAGGAAGGAAGGAAGGAAGGAAGGAACAGTCAAGGCCTTGAAAGAACCTCTCATGCCAAGCACTATCTTTTCAGTCAAGTGTGGTCGAAATTTATGGGGCTGCTGAAATCTGGCATGGAAGATGTGAGGAAATCAGGAATAATTCCAGAATGCTCTGTGCCGATTCCTTCTCTGAGTATCAGAATCTGAATCATGTCAGTGACTAAGCAGTGTCTGCTGCATGATGAGGAGAGACCTTTCCTTCATTCTAATCTGCTCTTTTAGCATTGGTGAAATTATTGTACACATCCATATTTCTCATTCATTTATTCCCCCGTTATCTGATCCCTCGTTCTCCCCATTACATAACCAGAGGACTGAACTGAGTTAAATTCCCAATCTTTCCCTCCTGACTATCACACTTTCTTGTGTGCCAAAGTGGTATGTGTGCTTGGGATCAAATTTCTTCCCCTGACTTAAGTCTGTATGGGTTTTAGGCTTGCATGACTTCCACTGGGCAGATGGGCCTGAACCCCTTCTGGTCACCCCGAACTTCTCACCTTTGGTCTTCCTAAATTCCTCCAGCAGGATCTGGGCCTCTTCCTGGATTTGCTTTTCAATAGGTTTTTTACCCATCCCAAAATTCTTCAAGATGGCAAGGGTGAATCGACGCAATAGCTTCCAGCGCTCTCCATTCGAAAACATGACACCTACAGAAGCAGGAATAAAGTAGAAGAGCCACCGAGAAAAGACCAGGTCAATTGGATGGCCTTACTCTGACGTCAACTGGGTCATCTCACCAAATCCTTGGAAGGTCCTCTCCAGGGTTGGGTTGGTTTTCCTCCCACTAAATTCCTCTGCCTTGTCTATCAGGGCCTCTTTCACAGCGTCATGTCCGCACAGGACCACAATCGGACGGCTTCCAAAGTAGACGGTGAAGACCGGGCCATATTTATCCCACAGCTGCAAAGGAAAACAGCCCAGGAAAGAGTTAGTGCCAATTTCTGGTGGTGTGATCTTGTGACTTAGGAAGGATGTTGTCCTTTGAAATGGTTCACTCTTGGGTGCACCAGGGCTGGCCGACCAGTCCAGCTTTGCTGAGGGACACAAGAACTAGCTGTGGAGAAGGAGGTCTCCTTAAGCATCAAGCATGAGATCGTATGGAAGGCTGGGCCCAGCATTAATTGGAATGGTCAACCTGTGGAAGACAAGGGGAGGCCTAGCCCTTTCCCACATACCCTTTCTGCTAAACTCCTTTTAAAGGAGAAAAAAAAAAACATCCTATAATATCCATAACAGTTCCTGCTGCCATCTCTTTGCCTTGTTGTGATCAAAAGGAAGGGTACAGACCGTTTAAAGAATTAAGCTGTGAAACACAGCTTTTGGGGAGTCTTCAGTCCTGAGGCAGGGATAAACGTGATTTACTTAGAGAAAGCTAGAGAAAGGATGAATATACTGAAGAGAATGACTGGAGGGAGAAGAGGAAGAAAAGGACCGGCAAGGGCCTGAATGAATCCCAACCACCTCCTTCCATTTGTCAGGATACTGGGAATGCCGACAGCGCTGGGTTCCATTCCAAGGGACACTCACTTACCTTGAGAAGAGATTTTAAGGTCTGAGAGGACTTGATTTGCAGGAAATTCCCGAGCAGGGGCAGGGGGGTGGGTCCAGGGGGGAGCTTCCCCTTGGCTGAGGTCTTCCTTTTAAATACGGTGAGAAGCAGGCAGGAGAGGCCGAGGATAAGGAGCAGGGTGACGGCTCCAGACGGCTCCATGCTGAAGGTTATCGCCTGTTCTGCTTCTTCCAGATGCTGAAGTTCTATATATATTTTTGGAAGAAACCCAAGTACCACCTTCCAGAACAAACAGGTTGAGTCCTGATTCATTTAAATCAAATCTCGTGGTTTCCCCCTAATCAGTGTTTTGCACACGTGATTCTTAGGACATATAGATTTGCATTTCCAATTGTCGAGATATAAATGCATTTCTACGATATCACCTGCCACTGTGTGTTTTTTTTAAAAAAATAGCTGTAAAATATCCCAAGTGTTTCTTGCCCTCTCTATATATCTTTATAGGCAGTAAACCAAGGCCTGAACTCAAAAGCAATGTTGGCAGACTTTGCATGTCTTTGAGAATAGTTAATTCCCGCCCGCTTCGTTTCTTGGTCTAGTGTTTTGGGGATGTCAAGAACTCCACAGAGAAGGAGAGATTGGAGGACCACACCAGAGAGGCTATGAGTACCTTGTCCCCAAAGACCTGCTCTTCATCATCTTCTCAGAGCCACAGGGACAGTCATCATCCTTTTCCATGCCCCTTTGCTGTTGACGTCTTGGGACAGACATGTGTCTGTGAAGAGCCCTGACAGAACAGGCCAGGAGAACAGTCAGTGGCTCTTCCCTACATGTGTGGAGGTAGTAGCCTTTTGGGCAAATGCATTCTCTCTTCCTGACTCCCACCGGATGCAGATGGGACTCTTATCCTGCCACCCATTTGGTGCTATGGCCTTCTGTTTTCTACACTTATTAGTCTACTCTGTTTACTTTTATTCCCATTATAAGCATGGTATGGGTTGCATGACCTCTTCCCAAGTAAATATGTTGCAATTCAGGGGAAAGAACAAGGAAAACTCGGTTGACTGGAAAAAGAATATAATCGGGAAAGCAGAAAGGAAGCTAATCAGGGAAATGAGAAAGAGAGCGAGCACGGTCTTGTAGGTAAAATACTTCATGCATGAGAATAGGACCTGAGATCATATCCATGTTGAGCTACAAACGCAGCACAAGGGCATAAACAGTGTGCCTCTGTTTCTCGTCTGCAAACAGGGCTGACTTGGCCAGTTCTGGAGTGGCAACACCTTTAGGGACATCAATAAACTAGAGGAAAAGTTCCCAGGGATAACTGCTGCTGTGGGACTACAACTCCCAGAATCCACAGCCAAGCAGGATGGGAAGCAAAGCTCATTCTCAGTCCTGAAAAGAGAGAGAGAGGGAGAGAGGGCTGGGCTCTGCCCCTTCCCAAGGTGGCTGGCCTCTCTTGCAAAGAAGGTGGATTTCGTGCGTCCAGGAAGCAGCCACCGTTTGGGAGGCGTCAGCAAGAGTCACAGAGGCAATTGCGGTATTTCCTGGCCTGGGTGCAGCCTTGTTTGCTGAGTAGAAAGGCAGAGATTTCCATGGCTTCTGCTAATCTCATATCTTTTGTTGTTTCAACGCCTTGATGGTGTTGGCCCCTTATCAAGTGTGGTGTGGCTGTGTTTAATTCCAAACCCAGAGATGACTTTGCTTCAGTGGTCTTCAGCCCAATGGACTGTGGCCTGGGCTGGTTGTTGTGTGTGTGTGGGGGGGTCAGCCTTAATTCTCCCCTCGGCCTGGAGTCAAATGGCTCCCGTCATTCCCTTCCGGCCCTGCTCCCCTCTTCGTCGTGGGCAAGGTCCTGGAACTCAACGCCCGTGGTGCACTGCAGGGGTTCCAAGAAGGCAGGTGTAAGGGGCTCCCTTCTCTCTGCCAAGACCTGCCTTCTTGGCCAGATTCGACTTTTTGGCCCACTTGTGTCCTGACAGTGTCTTCTCAGGGTTTCAGATACTGTACAGAAGTAACGTACCCACCCTCTGTCTCCCTTTGGGTCCCTCGGCTTCCACCTTGAGATTCCCGGGAGCTAAGCACCTACGGAGGGGAAAGAGGTTGGTCAGGTGAAGGGGGTTAAGCCTCTAGGTTTTGCTCATCCTGAGACTGACAATGTAACAGAACGTATCCTGATCTGAAGGAAGACGCTTCAAAGACCTTCCACGGGGTGGGGTGGGGTGGAGTGGGGGGTTGAGGGACGCACAGAAAACCATGTGTGCATCAGAAATGTGGACAGCTAAGAATGCATGTATTTGAAAATGGGCACAGCCACCTCTGAGCCATTGAAGAAATGCAGCTGAGAAAATGTCAGTTAGAAAAAGGATTATCTATGGCTTGAAAAATCCTTGCTGAGGTAAGCAAACCTTTCCATGCCGCCCGGCGCATTTCCCACCAGAAAAAGCCAGGAGCTCTTTCGTTCACTGAAACTGGATCAAGGATGTTCAGTTGGCCAACTCAGATTTTTAAAAAACCTTCTGCCTGCAGGGAGCTTAGCCTGGCACCAGTGGGTGTGTAGGTGAGGTAGGTATGGAATTTACCTGGGCTCACCTACGCCCAAGAGGTGTCATACCTTGAAAGGGTATCGGATCAGGTTACCTCTTTAGGGACGTGTTGGGGCATGCCGTGGCGCTGGGCCAGGCGTAACTCTCTCTGGGATAGAGGCAAGCAGGGACCATTGTATAATGTTCAGGTGGCATGCCCAGAGCATGGGAGCATTATGTTTTTTTTTTTTTTTTGAGAAAAACTCCCAGAATCCCCTCGCCAGACAACTGGATGGTGGATTCTGGAGACCGTGATATATTCTTTTCAAGCTTTAGGAATTTTTGACATGGATGCAATGAAATCAGCACTCCTCAAAAGATACCATTGTTCACATGAGGACATCATGAATCAGCCTCGGGGGATCGCCTGGAGGATCAGCGGCCAAGCCCATGCTTTGCTTGCGTTGTGACCCTTCCCAAAGGCTCAGCCTGTGGCAACGTCAAGCTCAATTTGCCCCAGGGAGAAGGGGTGGGAAGCTGAACACTGGGATGCCTCACCAGATGATTGGGGGGGGGCAGCAATACCCCATCAGCCCTCCCCAACGTAACCAAGGTGAGGGATGCTGGAGATTGCAATCCAACCACATATCCCATCCCTGCCTTAAGGCTTTGGTGGGCACCTGCTAATCAAGAAGGCAGGATGGGGCAGGTGGTTGTGGGTTCTGTGCCATCTCATTGGAATCGAGCAGCCCTAATGGGGCTTTCAAGGTAAGTGAGATATTTAAGGAGTGGTTTTACCAGTTCCACCTCCCCCAGTGACCTTCCATGGCTGAGCAGGGATTCGAACCCTTGCCTCCAGAGTCCTAGTCCATCACTCCATCCACTACACCACACTGGGTGCAGAGAGACGGAGGGAAAACACACTTTCATGAAAGCAAAGCGACGTCTCAGGTTGAAGTGTACCATCAGTGTTTTCCGACGGGGTTTTTTTGCAGCCGAGACCAAAACGAGCCCGCGTTCCCCATTCGCTTGGGCCCCTGAGGTACGGTGGTCTCAATATTGCTGGTGGACCATGCTGTGGAGTTTAGTGGGAGAGGGTGTTTGGCCATGGTGGATGACTCTGTCAAAGAACAGGGGAGTTCCAACTCATCAGAATTCAGTGTGTTGCCATTGCAGAAAAATCTGGATTTTGTGCGCACTGCTTCTTGCAATCGTGGCACTTAATTGAATTTGAAGCCTTTCTCCAGTGCATCAAGGCCTAATTTTAGGTAGTGTAGTTCTTTTTAATAAGCCCTTGGTCTTGGCTAGACACTACACGGGAGCAGACTGGATTGGGGCTAAATAGGGAAAGGTCATCCTCCCCACTGCTCTCAGAAGAGAACGGAGAGGCCAAACCCAGGGTGCAAACCTAGTGCAATCGGCTGGACAGGATCCATGGAGCCAAAATATTGCCGAGTCATTAGCCCTGGAAATTTTCCAAATTGTGGTGAGGCAGAGTGAGGGCAGAGGTTTTTCGTCCTCTGTCCCTCTCGTGTGTCACTAGAAGGAGGTGCCATAGCAGGGAACTGATTAGCAGAAAGTTCAAAGGCCACTCGCTCTTTGCTTACATAACACAGAACTGGCATGTGGCATTCACTGAGAGCGATGTTTAAATGGGTTGTTGTGCTCCGCCACTTTAAATGCCTTTTCATGTTGGTGGAGGAGGACCAAGAAAGGTTTAGCAAGGGTTCTGTTTAATTTGTCTGCCATTAGCTTGCCTTCTTGTGGAAAGCTGTCCTAGCAACATGATTGTAGGGCAGAACTTAAAGGCTTCTTTTAATTACTGTAAATCCATAGGAACCATGCAAGAGAAGGAGAACTTCCATGTGCAGAAACAATCTATCTGTGAACGGCCATTGCTGAGGAGCACAAGCAGGAGAGGGCTCTTTCCTCCATGCCATCGTCAGCTTCTAGAATGGAGAAACAGAATCTGGACCACATGAGAAACCAGGCAGCCAAGTTCTGGGCTATAGGTAGGAAGCCTGGCTAAAGATTTTACCTACAAAAGGCCCTTTGCTCATTTGCTACATTAAATATCCCTTGTACAGTAGAAACCCTTATCCACGGCATCGGCATTTGCTGGTTCCTTTATCCACAGTCTGAAAATATTAAAAGACAAATCCTAGAAACGAGCACAGGTTGCTGTCCTCTGAAGATGCCCATGGCCACAGAGACTGGTGAAACGTTAGGAAGAACCACCTTCAGAACACGGCCAAAGAGCCCGAAAAACCCAGAACAACCATTAGATCCTGGCCCATCGCGAATAAATCCTAGAAACATTTCTAAAAGGTGAAATTTCCAGAAATGGCCACTAGAGGAGCCAGAGACCATGCTATGTAGAGCATTCAGCATAATCCATGTTCCTCATTTTGACTCTCAAAATAATGGGAGTCCCCGAATTATATATCATTATTATATATCATTATAATCAATGTTCTTCAGCCTTCATGAGGGTCTTGGAACCAATCCCCCATGGCTACGGGGGTCCTACATAGAAAAATTAATTGAGCTTATGTGCATCATACAGTAGCTCCAATGACATCCCAGCAGAAGTGCTATTTACAAAGGGCCGAAACTGGGATGTTACCAACAACAGGAATACACAACCGTCTGTGACATTAGACTGCACCCTCTTTATTGCCATGGCATTACACCTGGCACATGCC